CAATATTCTATTCGGCGAATATTTAAAAATTAGCTCGGGGTAAAGCCATTGAAATTCCAAAGAGTGCAAGAACTTACACCGCAACAGAAAGAAAATAGACTCCAAAGAGCTAAAGAGTTGCTTCGCTTTGCCGAAAGTGGTGAACTTTCAAGTTTGATTTTCTCCGATGCCCAGGAGTCTTTAAACAAACAAAATGATCATGTTTACTTACCAAAGAGGTCAGTTGAAACATTTTGGCCGCAGACCTTAGAATTTCCAACATACTCAGCACCATCGCACTCAGCACGCGCCACCCAAGAACGGCTACAAATTGAGGTTCCTCGCTTCATTTCCTGCGCACTATGGCCTCAAAAATCTCCGGATACCAATCTCTTGGACTATTGTGGTCGGAGTATTTTGCAAAGCAAGAATGGCACTAAAAAAAACAAAGTGTCGATCACCTCAAGCAGGCGCCCGGAATGGGCCAGCGTATGACGGTTTCATTGTCCGTTTTGAGGCCATAATTCGTGTCAAAGGTTGGTCACCTTTCGAACAAATTTAACTTATACTAAAATTTGATGCTATTTCCGACATTTTTTGCCTTAATCAATTAAAAATGTAAGAATTATGGCTTTTGATCATCAAAAGTAACTCCTCCTCACCTCTTTCTCCATGTTACAAACAAATGCAGCAAGACATAATACACTTACCACACGGCGGCATTGGATTTAAAAAAAAAATACATTTGGAAGAATTTAATATTTTTGAAAGTTTTTCTTGATTTTATTTGGATGGGTTGAATATATGGACCTTGCGTATTTTGGTAATGCGGATGCACAAAGCAAGTTACCATAGTGAGGATGATGAGTATTGCTGTGCCGCAGGATGGATATTTGCCAAGCCTGTTTTAAGTCCAGTAGGCCTATTATGTTCTACCGCAACCTTCCTATTTACTTCATCTGCTGATGGTATCCAACTCGCAACCTTATGATTAAACACACTGACCCACTATTACGAATATTAAGGGTAGTTTCATGTCTCATATCTTCATTAAGAAGTTTTCTTTAAACTCACACTTTATTATCGGCCGTGCATACTATGTACGTTACTGATTACTTCGTAATGGGCAAATAAAGTTCTTTTGCTTTGTAATTTAAATAGAATGATCCTACCGGTAATGCCCTTTTATTTGACCCAAGGAAGAAGAATATGGTCCCCAATTATATCATCTTCGATTTCATGTTTAAGAAATGTGTAAATAAGTACCAGCTCAGATTGGAAGCATTTAGAACCAAACGAGCGAACCCAGCCTAGTAGCAAGTATATTAATTTTAAAAAATGAAAATCGGTTCAGATATAGCTATGGCTCCCACAAATGTGTTTCATCCGATTTGATATTAATTTTTCTTAGAGCTGTACATAACAATACAAGATATCAGATACACAGAGTGAGATGAAAAAACTGCAACCAACTTCAGACTGCTGTCATTTCTAAGCCGCTCGTCCAACAGTTGTTAAAATTATTCCAGTGTTTACAAGCGCTCAAAAGCGTTTTGATGAGAAATTTCCAGAAAAAAAACATTTGTAAAATTAAGAAGGTAAAGTCATTTCAAATAAGCATTCTCATCTCTGCATTTTCTGTAATTTACCTTGTCACATTTCACTACATAAAAACGAGTTCCCACCTCTGATTTGTGTATGCACAATAAATTTATAAATACAAATTTTAACAATGAGATGTTGTCAAATGAATAATCTTTGAAAAAAAATGTAAACATGTGAGAAAAAAGTTTTTCGTGATGGAATTCAAGGGTGATAGTGTGATTTCTTTATATTTGGCTGAAAAACCATAAGTTAGAGCACTTAAATGTGAATGAATCTTTTGTGTCTCATACCATCGCTCGTTACCATGATACTTGTAGCGTAGCCCGACGTCAAGGAAGTGGACGGAAGAAAATAGCAACATCAGCAGAAACGGTTCGAAAAGTAAAGAAGCGACTTGATCGAAACCCGCGTAGCCGTCGCCGAAAATGGCTTGTGAGCTGAACATATCGCAGTATTCCATTCGGCAAATACTGAAAAATGAGCTCGGGGTAAAGCCATTGAAATTCCGAAAAGTTCAAGAACTTACACCGCAACAGGAAGAAATAGTCTCAAAAGAGCTAAAGAGTTGCTTCGCTTGGCCGAAAGTGGTGAACAGCCAAATTTGGTTATCTCCGATGAGAAAACATTCGATGTCCAGCAGTTTGTAAACAAACAAAATGATCGTGTTTACTTGCCAAAGAGGACAGCTGAAAATGTGCACCTTCGGTTGGCCACCAGAACTCAAGCGCCGGCCATAGTGATGGTGTAAGCCACCATAACAGCCGATGGTCGCTTTGCGCTCGTATTAATTGACCGATCAGAATAAATGCCGAATATTATCGCGAAAATATTCTGGAGGGTGTATTTAAGCCTTGGACATTCCGCCGCAGGCCTTGGACACGCGCCACCCAAGAATGTTTACAAAAGGAGGTTCCTGGCTTTATTCCCATCAAAATCTACGAATACCAATCCGTTGGACTATTGCTCCTGGAGTATTTTGGAAAGCAAGGGTGGCACTAAAAAACACCAATGCGTCGATCACCTCAAGCAAGCGCTTCGTCGGGAATGGGCCAAAATATCGCAGAGCAATATTCGGGCAGCGTGTGACGGTTTCATTGGCCGTTTGAAGGCCATATTTCGTGCCAAAGGTGACCAGCTCGAACAAATCTAAACCTATTCTAAAATTTGATGCTATTTATGGCGTTTGACTTTGATGCAGTTTTTTATTTTACCCTGTATTCTGCATTTTTAAGATTTTAACAGATTTTTTTTTTTTTTGAAAATTTCCAAATTTGTTTTCAAATGGTGAAGGGTATTCAAAGTTCGGTTCTGCCGAACTTACTGCTTTTTTACTTGTTACAATTTCATGTTGCAACTACTCAAGGGATATTTAATTAGATGCTTTTAAAAATAAATTGGAATGGGTGCATTCGAACATATTGTGCAGTATTGTGAGTTTTTCGAGGCATCTTGTCAATTCTTTGAGGATAGGAAATCTCCTGGCAAAACCCGTTTCCCAACCACCGAGAATTTTCACTTAAATGATTTTTTCGATCGTGGTGTGTCTTATGCATTTACCGAACTATAAAAGTCAGTTCAGCTGTACCCAACTGAAAAGTGTTTGTATTATCTCATATTCCTAGGGGCCAAATCAAAGAATGCACATGAACTAGTTAAGTTTGGATATTCAATCTTAAGTTGTGTTATTTTAATTAAACTGAATATAGAGATAATATTTTTTGTACATAAATTGCTCAATACAGTAAATTGATTGGATATTTTCATTGGCTAATCCAAAATACGTATATTTATATTCATATCTAACCTAAATGGACACAGTGTCGAAAAACATTACTGAAAGATAAGACCAATATTCTCAGCTGAGCACGGCGATAACGTTGCCATCCTCAAGAACTTTGAACTTGCGTCATAAATTTTGAAATGTTGATCAAAAATATTTTCTTTGTTACCAAACCAACCTCAACAAATTTGGCAAATTCGCTTTAATTGAAATATAATGTCGGCAAACTTCAAAGCCAATTGTTTGACTCAAAGTTCACAGTTGTATCTAAAGTCTATATCCAATTGCGACAGACAGATAGTGTAACTATCTATGTCTATCCATGCATTTGATAAATATTGAATCAGAATTCATTGGCAATTCAAAGGATTTAGATCGTTGCAATTATAAATATGAACTCAATATTCATCCGGCAATTCATCGCAAGAAGTCTATATCTCTAAAATAAATTATTTAGTTGTTGAGTGAAAAAAAAAAAAATAAAAGTTTTGTTGAAAAAATAAAGTTTGGGTTTCTTAAAAATACACAAATCAACTCAAATATATGGAGCTATGGAGTTACGGCGAAATTTATGTAGCACCCAAAAGAAAAGTTGTACCCCAGCCACATATGCGATATCACAATTCTTCGGTAAATAGCTGTTTGAAAGTTTTATTGCGATTCATGAGTGTAAAAATGTTAATTTAATAAAATAGTGCACAATATTTTCGTTGGATTATAATGTTTGTCATTGATTGGATGTTCTTAATGTATAAAGAATACCACTGAGACTTATACGTGAGTCTATTTAGATTACTACTATCTTCGGACGCGTAAAGATGTGGAAATGACGATCTTAGCGAAATAACACCAGGACACAGACGCAGAAAGTGAGGTACAATTTCTGGTACCCAAGCAGCTCGAGGAAATATTTAAATCTTGAGTTTCCGTTATGTGGGGTCTATACCACAACGTGGATCTGAATAGCAATTTTTCTGAGGACCTTTAACTACCAACCTTCAAAAAATTCCGTTGAAATATTGGGCCATATGAAAATGTGGGCCAATATGTATTCAATTTACACATAATTAATTTCAGACTTAATGTGAGAATGACCAACATTTTAGCCATCTGGGAAAATCCCTACGATAGTTACTAGCAAGAATATATACTATACTAGTAAGTGCCCGTTACTTTGTCTGCTAAAAGTCCACCTTAAAATTTAGATTCGTTCCGAGAGTTCGTGTTAGGCTTTTTAGTACTCCACCTCTATAGGTTCACCCAAATCGAAATTTAGTATCATTTAGTCATTTTCTTGCACATAAGTACAAATTTCGAAAACTTTCTCCATATCCCAATCCCACACTCCGCCAGTGATGTTAATTTGAATTTTCGGTATTCCAGCTCCGTCCGTTCTCCCAAATTAAAATAGTACCAAATTTACTACCTTTTAGTACTTTTCGTATACATGAGTAAACACTTCCAAAATTCAGTCCTTACATCGATTCTACTCTCAAACTTGATTCCCATTCCGAATCTCAAGTTTATAGCTTTAGCCGTTCACATGATTCGAAATAGTGCTAAATCTAGTACATTTTAGTACTTTGCGTACACTTATATTGCGAATTTTCAAAAACCGTTTGGTGTTCTCTTTCAGCTTTTGGGTATTGGCACAATTGTCGTAAATTGCTTGGCATTGAACAACTACACCGATGAGGGTCGCCTGCTCTGTATCTTTTGGATTGTCTTAGGAGCTATTGTGTTTTTGGTTTCGTTCTTCGGTTGCTGCGGTGCAATTCGTGAGAACATCTGTTTGACGTGGTCGGTAAGTATTTGTTCTGCAAGGATATCGATGTTTTCAGAGAGCATTTAAATGAGCCATCAACCTGTATTTTGGATAGTATGCCTTCTTTTTGGTGCTCTTGATAACCGGCAATGCCATTCTGCACTTTGGTTACATTTCACACATCGATGGTGAGACAAAGGCTCGCAAGGATATTGACATGGCTTGGCAATTGCAGATGAATGGCACCGATGCCATGTCGCAAATTCAAAGTACTGTAAGTAGACAATTTGTAGAGATATTTTTTTCGAATTGCTTGATTTATATCATTTATATATTTGTTGTTGCATTTTAGTTGTCCTGCTGTGGTAAAATGAACTCGACTGATTACACCACTGCCAATTTGACCATACCCGATAGCTGTTACTCGAATGGAAATGTTGGAAATACCACAGCTATTTATCCTGATGGCTGCCTTTACAAATTAATTGCCGTTTATGAAGCTGCCGAACACTGGATAACCATTTTCAGCTGGTCCACTCTCAGTGTGGAGGTAAGTTATCCTCACCTCAAATTAAAACGAGAAAAATTAATCATCTTTTCTGTCTCTTTTTTAGGCTGTAGCATTTGTATCTGCTTGCATCTTGGCCATTACGTTCCGTAATCAAGAGCGTAGATCTAGATATTAGTTTGGAGAACAAATCGAAACTGAAGAAATTTTATTTTGCAGCATTTCAAAAGAATTTATTATTTACTAGCTGGCCCGGTCCGCGTTGCCGGCCCTTACTTTTAATCTTTAATGCATATTTTTTTAAGCATTATAGAATTATGAAAGCGGCAAAATTTTTATTATAAGTAAAATAACTCCATAGTAATTTCTAAATAGAAATAAACATTCATGGGAAAAATTATAATAGATAATAATCTACCGTCGGTTTTAGATATTTTGAATAGCCTGATCTTATTTTTCAGCCTAAGGCTATAATTGAGTGTTAAAAACCTGTATGATATAGAACTTCTATAATAGCCCCATGTGAAAACTCAGCTAAATTTTTGGTATTGAATTTCCAATGTTAAGAATACCGTGCTGCGTGGTATTTAGTTTTGTCCACCTCATAATAGAGGGCGGAATGATTTCAAAATAGTCAAAGATAATTGCTTTTTTACACCCATTACCGTGAAATATTAATTAATTTATTTTTGTCATTTAAATTGTGAGTTGGAGAACCCATAAAGTCCATATTTTTCATCATAGTATAATTCAATAACGAACAAAAAAATTAATATTCGTGATTTTTTCATGTTTCTGCCACAATTTGATATTTCGGAGTTTATGGCATGTAGATGTTAATCCCACATCTACGTTCCCAACCAATATTCTCTTGGGAGTTTCAAATTCAATAGTATATCAAATTTTCTTTTCTGACCAAACATTGGTTAGGAAAGCGGATTTGTGGGTACACTAATGTGAGAACTATACTCGAATAAATGCCTATGTGGACAATTATCTGAGGGACGATTCTCTACCCCAGAGTTGCCTAAATACAATTTTTTAGCCAAATCAATTGATGAATGTGGTCAAGACCAAGGTGGACTCTACTCCGAAAATTGAAAATATTATGAGAAGAGGTTTTTTACACCCTTAGAAACAAAGATGCCAAATAAAGGCCTAAAGATGAAAAAAATGTCGAAGACCCCGAACATGGCTTAAATTATATGATGGTTATACCAAAACATGATCATATTTTGCGAGGATGGTTTCTTATCAAATTAAAATGGGTGTGAGAAAAATGTGGTTAAAATGTAAACAATACTTAAAATAGGGTTGTACCCTTATCCGGGGGTCATATATCATGACCTGCAAAAGCAATTTAAGACATCTTGAAAGTTTAGGAACAATTTCTTTCTTTTTTACTAAATGTCCAATTCGCTCTACCATTTTGCACCCTTTATATTCGGTATTTCACTGACTGCAGTTCCAATGAATTGCATTTTGAGTTCTCATTGGGCGGATTATTGCCATATGAAAGATGTAGGTCCACGTAGGTCACTCATTTTATTTTAAATATTATTCATTCAGATTTCAAGGCAATAAAAAATGTTCACTTCAATATAGTATGTCAAATTGAAAAAAATCACACCAAAAAGAAATTTTTTATTAATATTTTTATTGGATACCATTCCAAAATTGTATGAATTGTCAAGCCGTTCTTTAGTTATACCTTATGTAATTTTTTCCCCGATTTGAGAATTTTTGCAATGAGATCTCTTTTTTCAAGATTTTTAGAAATTTTGACTTAAATTTGGTGTGACCGCGTTAAATTATTTCGATAACATCTATTTCGTTTCGCCACCACATAATTTGGTACTACACTTCAATGTAACCCGGCTTCTATTTCAGTTCTCAAGAAATCGAGTCAAAATAAATTGGTATTAATATTCGAATCAAAAAGAAAAAAAAATATTAAAAAAAAACACTACAAATGTACATTCGAAAAAAGTAAGTCAAAATAGAAAAAAAACATACAAAATAAAACATTACGATTGTACATTTCAGAAGTCAAAATGAAAATGTTAATATATCACATTTTTACGCGATTTTTTTGAATATTATCCTTTTCGGAAAAGAGACAATTCAGAATTTGTATGAATCGTTAAAATCAGATCAGCGGTTCTTGAGTTATAAGCGTAGTAACTAACACAACTTACATTTATATATATAGATTTATTTTCCACAAAATATTTTACATCATATAATATACACACGTACATTGTTGATTTAAATGTATTGCCTGATTCGTTTTTAAATCATGAACGATTATATTGTTAATTTACGGGTGAGGGAAAAGTGCTTTATATGGGCCTATCTATTTAAATATTCAAATTCAAGTTAGAAAGTTTAAGTATTTATTTAGTATTTGCCCATTTAGTTTGAGTATTTGCCCATTTATTCGTTAATAATCATTTTGGGGGACGTACCATGAAGATTGGACCTGCACATGCCATCTTTACTCTAAATTTAATGTAAGCTCAAGTGTTGCAATGTGTGAAGAGAACTATCAAATAATACGATGTGAGAAGCGATGAACAAAAATATTCCTTGTCCATTCCTGACATACGTCCGATATAAATAATATCAGGGTCCAAGTTTGGAATATTTAGGGCACTCGATATAATATGAGATATATGTACGGGTTTTATACCCTACACCACACTGTGGTAGGGTATTATGTCTTTGTGCATTTGTTTGTAACATAGAGAAGGAGAGAGACTCATTGTTCCTTTTAATGATCTGCATAGAATAACATTCTGAGTTGGTTTATGTAGGTCCATCCGTCTGTTCAAGTATTTTTTGTAAAGCAAGGTACAGGTCTCATTTATTGTCCGATCGAGATGAAATTTTGCAGAAATAATTTCTTTGCTCAAGAACGGACTCTATTGAAATTGGAGATAATCGCATTAACCAACATTAAAATATAGCTCACATATACATCTTCGTCCGATTTGCTTTTTATTGGGCACCAAAGGTGTAATATTTGGCCAAATTGGATTGAATTCGGCACATACGACCAAGTTTAGCCTAGGAACAAGTATGTCGGTTTAGATTAGCACTCATATATATTCATCATCCGATTTGTTAAATTTATCCTCCACAGCTGTAATATGCACACCGTAACAACAATATTCGAGGAAATACATAGCAAGATAAAAAAACTGCAACAAAGTCAAACGCCATAATTTTAAAATTTTATTAAATGAAAGCAATGAAACCGTCACACGCTGCCCGAATGTTGCTTTGCAGTATTTTGGCCCATTCCCGGCAAAGCACTTGCTTGAGGTGATCGACACTTTGGTATTTTTTAGTGCCAACCTTGCTTTCCAAAATACTCCATACAAAATAGTCCAACGAATTGATATCCGATGATTTTGGTGGCCATTTTGCCACCAAAGGGGGGAACCTCATTTTGTAACCATTCTTGGGTGGCGCGTGCTGAGTGCGATGGTGCTGAGTCCTGTTGGAATGTCCAAGGTCTGCGGCCAAAATGTTTGCGTACCCAAGGCTTTAATACACCCTCCAGAATATTTTTTCGCGATAATATTCGGCATTTATTCTGATGCCACAGTCGATTAATACGAGCGGAGAGCGACGATCGGCTGTTATGGCGGTCCACACCATCACCATGGCCGGCGCTTGAGTTCTGGTGGCCAACCGAAGGTGAACATTTTCAGCTAACCTCTTTGGCAAGTAAACACGATTACTTTGTTTGTTTACAAACTGCTGGACCACCACATTCGGCCAAAGGAAGCAACTATTTAGATCTTTTGAGTCTATTTTCTTTCCGTTGCGGTGCAAGTTTTTCGCTTTTTCACTTTTCGAACCATTTCTGCTGATGATGCTGTTTTATTCCGTCCACTTCCTTGACGTCGGCCTACGCTACCAGTATCACGGTAACGAGCGATGGTACGAGACACAACAGATTTATTCACATTTAAATGCTGGAGTGCTCTAACGATAACCACTTGCGGTTTTCCAGCCAAATATAAAGATGTCACTCTCACACTTGAATTCCATCACAAATATTTTTTTTCTGGAAAGTTCTCACCAAAATGCTATTGTACGCTTGTAAACAATGTACTAAGCTGTCACTGGAATAATTTTAATAGCTGTCGGACGAGTGGCTTAGAAATGACAGCAGTTTGAAGTTGGTTGCAGTTTATTCTGTATTACAACGTGACAGATTTGGACTATATCGACTACTTCCTGTACTGTACTTTAAATGAGATATGTGCATTTTTTTGGAAAATGTGGAAACATGCGTAGGGTAACAGATATAGTCAAAGTATTTAATTTTCATTTCAAAATTTGAAGGAAATCGAACATTTATATCCAATTTTATGCGAAATAATAAATTACGATTTAAAAGAAATATTTAGATATAGTAAGTTGTAAAGAATCGCAATATAGCAAGCTGTAAAAAATTTGACCCTTTATGGTAAGGTACAGGAAGATGGATTTGGATGATTATTTCGCTTTCTTTGAGCGTTTGTTTTCCAAAATCTTAAACCCCATGTGGGAAGGTACCACAAGAAATTGTGCGATTTCTTTATAAAAGATCTGGTGTTGATGAACATTTTGAGATGTATTAGGTCGGAATTAAATCGAACGTTATTTTTGCGTTTTATGAGATTCATGGATACTCAAAATTTTGACCACAAGGAGTGGACCGATATATCTTCACACCAGACCTTGGGCAAATACAAATGTTGTGATGTGTGTAATTTTAAGAGAACCGGGTGCTTATTTCGGATTTTATGATCGTTTTGGTTCTTCAAAATGTTCACCCTTTGTGGAGGAAGTACCAGAAGGAATGGTCCGATCTCTACCATCTTTATAACAAATCTTGTGTTTACACAAATATGGAGATGTACCAAGTCCGAATGGAATCGGATGTTAATTTCGTGTTTTAAGAGCTTCATGACACTTTGTGGGGGAGGTACCAAAAGGCGTAGAATAGTAAAAATATTGTAATGTGTGTACTTTGAAGACAATCAGACTCTTATATCACATTATATGAGTTATGATTATTCGAAATGTTGGCAGTTTGTGACGGAGGTGCTTGATGGAGTGGACAGATATTGTCCATTTCCGCACCTGACCTAGCACTGATTAAAATTTTAGGATATGCAAAGTTGAAGCAAAATCGGAATATCGTTTCTCTTTCTGTGCAGTAAATTATTTTCTTTGAAAATGTTGTCATTTTGTGGGGGAGGTGCCAAAAGGAGTGGACAGATATTGCCCATCTCCGAATTCGATCTAAGTTTGGCAATAACATTACGATGTGCAAAGTTTGGATCAAATCGGATACTCCTTTCGGGAGTTATAGTGCGCACCAGGCAGTTAGACAGACGGACGGACATCGCTATTTCGATTCCAAATGTCCTGAATCGTATTTAGTCCAGGCCTAGGGTCTGTGGTATTTTTGGACCCGACTTAAACTCTAAACTCGTACAAAATGCCGGGCCTATTGGTTTATAATTGTGGCCGGTAGACTGACCAAAAATCCGAAAAATAATTTTTGGTCCATTTTATCCCCTAAATGTTTTTCGATCATCTTATCCTAGCCCTAGCCGCATGTAAAATTTTATCATAACCAAACAATATTTACGATCTGTAGAGGGATTACAATTTAACATCGTCAAATGGACGGACGGACGGACCCACATGTCTTGACTCAGATCAACGAGTATTTATTGTGGGTATGTTACCAATATATAAAAATGCTACATACTTTTTGGCTCAGACAAACCTATGAAGCCATTCAGAGAAGTTATTTACATTCAACATTTCATCCTTTAATTCCCCAACCTGGTCACCTTGATTTGCAAACAATATTTTGAGCCCATGCAGTCAACAGAAGAAATTCGTTTGTCTATTCATGTGGATACCAGCGGTGATTGCCTATGTAGGTAGGTACTGCCATCATTATAATAGCGTTATCATTATATTGTTCTCATTTCGTTGCTAGCTTTGCTACTTTCCATTTTTGTTGTTATTGTTCGCCTTTCTGTCATGTGAACACGTTTTTACAGCTCACAGCTCATAACTCTTTGCCAGTCACTGTCAAAGGTTAAACTTCATTTCCGTTCTAACCACCGTAGTCCACCCACGTCACATATTGCATTAATATCATATCCTGCAGCCAGATTTCTTCATTAAGCGCCAAAGGAAACAGGAAACACAAAACAGAGTGAATTTGTGAACCATTTATCCAGAAAATAACATAAAAAGCCCCCTCGCGATGAATCGCATTCAGTTGTAAGTAATCAATTTAATCTCAAATGCATGTTTTATTTCCAATTTTTATTACCGACAATTAAATGCCAGACAGACAGACAGACTGAATGATATGGACGGCATACAAAGGGTTGAACAGCAACACTCCACAAGTCGACCGACAAATTTGCCACATTTAATCGAAATGAAGATATATCAAATGTGACAGGATCTCCCGCACATACGGGTGATGTGCGTGATTTGAGGCCATTCTTCATCCGGAACAACTTTTGTGGCCAAATAAAGTTCCGCTGGGAAGTGTATAAATAAAACCATTTGGATTAGTTCAATTAGTTGTAGTTTTGTAGCGAGAAAAGTGTCGGCGGCTGAGAAAATGTGTTTCGAAAACTTGATTTAACCAAAGTTGAAATTTAATTGTGCATCGCCTTAATAGTGTTTTTTTTTTTTTGTAAAAGGGTATAAACTTACAGCACATATTACATAAATAATGAATTTAAAAATATCAGAATATCATAATGGGCCAATAACATTTGTTCGTTCTTGAACTTGAAACACAATTCCAATCGAAATAAATCAATAAAAATGACTTATTATTGAAAGTTTTCGTTTTCAATTATTATTTTGCAAGTGAAGGTGCATTAGCAGAGGAACAACAAAAACCAATGCATTTATATTTACACAATGTATTCGATTTGAATTCGATATTTTCCATTACACCTTGGGCACAGTGTCATTAAAAGGTTGCATAGATAATAATTCAAATTTTATTGAATTGTAATTTAAACACCATTTTACGGTTAACGAATTATGGCTTTCAAACGGCCAATGAAACCGTCATACACTGCCCGAACGTTGCTCTGCGGTATTTTGATCGACAATTTGGTATTTTTAAGTGCCAACCATGCTTTCCAAAATACTCCAGACACAATAGTTTAAGGGATTAGTATCCGGAATTTTGGTGGTCATTGTGCGCTGGAAATGAAGTGAGGAACCTCATTTTGTAAGCATTCTTGGGTGGCGCGTGCTGAGTCCGATGGTGCTGAGTCCGATGGTGCTGAGTCCTGTTGGAATGTCCAAGGTCTGCGGCCAAAATGTTTGAGCTGACCTCTTTGGCAAGTAAACACGATCATTTTGTTTGTTTAAAATCTCCTGGACTTCGGAAAAAATCAAACTCGACAGTTCACCACTTTCGGCCAAGCGAAGCAACTCTGTAGCTCTGTTGAGTCTATTTTTATACCCTCCACCAAAAAAGGTATGGAGGGTATATTAACTTTGTCATTCCGTTTGTAACTCATCGAAATAATCATTTTAGACCCAACAAAGTATATATATTCTTGATCAGCGTAGAATTCTAAGACGATTTAGCCCTGTCCGTCCGTCTGTCCGTCTGTTGTTATCACGCTACAGTCTAAACGAATTAAGATAGGAAGCTAAAATTTTGCACAGATCTCTCTTTTGTCTGCAGGCAGGTCAAGATTGAAGATGGGCTATATCGGTCCACGATATCGTATAGCCCCCATATAACGGTATCCCCCGATATTCGGTATTTTTGATGATTTTACCCACATTTTTGAACGGAATTGTCTGAAAATCCACACAAGGAGTTCCTTGTGGGTACTTTATACCTCAGCAGAGAATTATCTATATAGGTCCACAATATCGTATAGCCCCCATATAACGGTACCCCCCGATATTCGGTATTTTGATGATTTTACCCACATTTTTGAACGGAATTGTCTGAAAATCCACACAAGGAGTTCCTTGTGGGTACTTTATACCTCGGCAGAGAATTATCTATATTGGTTCACAATATCGTATATCCCCCATATAACGGTACCCCCCGATATTCCGTATTTTGATGATTTTACCCACACTTTTCAACAGAATTGTCTGAAAATCCACACAAGGAGTTCCTTGTGGGTACTTTATACCTCGGCAGAGAATTATCTATATAGGTTCACAATATCGTATAGCCCCCATATAACGGTACCCCCCGATATTCGACATTTTGATGATTTTACCCACATTTTTCAACGGAATTGTCTGAAAATCCACAAAAGGAGTACCTTGTGGGCTCTCCTCAAAATGAAGTGTCTATATAGGTCCACGATATCGTATATTCCCCATATAACTGTAACCTACGATATTCGGTATTTTGATGATGTTAGCCACGCTTTTCGATGGAATTGTCTTAAAATCAACACAAGTAGTTCCTTGTGAGTACTTCACATCCTGAGAGAGAATTGTCTATACAGGTCCACGATATCGTACATCCCCCATATAACGGTACCTCCCGATATTCGGTATTTTATGATTTGACCCACATTTTTCATCGGAATTGTCTGAAAATCCACACAAGGAGTTCCTTGTGGGTACTTTATACCTCGGCAGAGAATTATCTATATAGATCCACGATATTGTATTGCCCTCATATAACGGTACCCCCGATATTCGGTATTTTGATGTTTTTAGCCATATTTTTCAACGGAATGGTCACAAGGGGTTCTTTGTACACAAGGGGTTCTTTGTGAGCACTTTACCCACCGACAGAGAATTCTCTATATAGGTTAACGATAACGTATAGCTCCCATATAGCGGTACCCCGCGATATTCGGCATTTTGATGAGTTTATCCACATTTTCCAATCGTATTGTCTGAAAATCCACACACGAAGTTCCTTATGAGTACTTTACACGCAGACATAGATTTGTCTTTATAGGTCCACAATATCGTATATCCCCCCATATATCGGCACCTTCCTATATTAGATATTTTAAAGATTTTAAAAGAATTTTTATTGGATTTTATTTTTTTGAAAATTTTCTAATTCGTTCGAAATGGTGGAGGGTATTCAAAGTTCGGCCCGGCCGAACTTACTGCTTTTTTACTTGTTTCTTTCTGTTGCGGTGTAAGTTGTTGCACTTTTTGGAATTTCAAAAGCTTTACCCCGAGCTCATTTTTAATATTTGCCGAATGGAATATTGCGATATGTTCAGCTCACGAGTAATTTTTCGGCCATTTCGACGCGGGTTTCGATCAAGTCGCTTCTTTACTTTTCTAACCATTTCTGCTGATGTTGCTGTTTTCCTCCGTCCACTTCCTTGGCGTCGGGCTACGCTACCAGTATCACGGTAACGAGCCATGGTACGAGACACAAAAGATTTATTCACATTTAAATTCTGGAGTGCTCTAACGATAGCCACTTGTGGTTTTCCAGCCAAATGTAACGAAGTCACACTATCACGCTTGAATTCCATCACTAATATGCTTTTGTACGCTTGTAAAAAATGTAATGATCTGTCACTGGTATAATTTAAACAGCTGTCGGACGAGTGAAAATGGCAGCAGTCTGAAGTTGGTTGCAGTTTTTTCATCTCACCCTGTATATGAGGGATAAGTTTATAAATCCATCTGCCCTTTACGGGATTAACTCACAAACTTTTCAAATGCTCTACTATTTTGGGCTTATAGTGGTGAGGTATGTTCCTCGTTGCATATGCGAAAAACATTCTGCAGACAAGGATCAATCCATATATTTCAGATTCATTACACTCTCAGTCATATAGGGTAAGTGTGCCTAAGCCCAAATAAATGAAACTATTGTAACTTAATGTATTTTGTTTACTTCAAATATATTGTCAGCTATCTTTGTGCACAATTTTGCTAAGAAAAGATCAATTATTCTAATAAAAATTAAATTTTTGTCTGTGAAGGTACTCGACAATTCATATTCTTAAGAAAACTACCATAAAGACATCGAATCAGTTTAACTAAACAAATATATTATATTTTAATGAATTAATTTATTATTATTATTAATTATTCTTACAAAAAAATTGGTATGCCGACTGTTGGAACATGCCATACCGACAATTAGCAAGTGGTGCCGACTACTGGCAAAAAGCATTGTTTTAATAAAACTACAAATTTATGAAATTTAATAAAAAGTTATTAAAACTTTATTTATTATTGCAAAAACTATACAAAATATCGAATCTGAATAAATTAACTTTGTAATAATTGAAATGTTCCACTCAGAATGGTGAGCGATTAAAAACGCGAAAATCCTAAAAGTGCCGACTACTGGTACATTTACCCTAACTACATTTCGTCTATTTAGACCAAATCCGTTTTAGGACATATGGAGTAAAGACCTAAAATGGTGAAGACTAAACAAAATGCATTCTGAAAAAATTGTTTATGTCTATACTATCTAGAATAACAGCTGATGACTGGACCTACCTATTGATATAAACAAGTAAAAAAAACATTAAGTTCGACTGGACCGAACTTTTAATACCCTCCACCTTAGGGTAAAGGAAACATTTTTCATATAAAATATCTCAATTTAAGCGTGCTTCACTTTAAACTTCATCAACCAGTAAGACCGTTTGGATAATGCAGTTAAACTTATCAAAAAACCATAAAGTGAGTCGGGTCGTTATATAGGACCATACCAAAACGTGAACCTCTATAGACAATTTTATACCCCTAGTATTGTCATCTACAAATGTTCTAAATTCCAAATTTTAAAAACAGTTTTGTGGGTAAATGTGACTAGGATTATCAAAAAAAAAAAAAAAAAAAAAAACAAATAACAATTTTTAGACAAATTCGTGGGAAAATGTGGCAAAACTCATCAAAATACCGAATATCGTTAGGTAATATCAAGAGGTACCGTTATAAGGAGGCTATACCAAAACGTGGACCTATACGTATAATGTTTCGCCACACGAGTAAGAACCCATTATGACCTACAAATACCAATTTTTGGAGTCGATTTAGGTCCACCATTAATTTTGGGCAAATGAAATTGAGTCTCAAGTTACAAGAATTGGCTCCGCCTTGTCTGCAACAAGTTCCAACTTTTTATACCCTCCACCATACTATGGAGGGTATATTAACTTTGTCATTCCGTTTGAAACTCCTCGAAATACTTATGTCAGACCCAACAAAGTATATATATTCTTGATCAGCGTAAAATTCTAAATCGATTTAGCGATGCCCGTCTGTCTGTTGTA